ATGGTTTAAGTGCCCTTTAGTGTCCATTCTTCTTTAGATGGCCTACTGGAAGAAGGTAACAAATATAACTAAAACAAAACGAAAAGGATTGCATCATTCTAGAAATTTTTTTTTTCTTTCGGATGCTTTATGGATATTTTTTTTATCTTGTTATGGACTAATTTGTAGTGCAAGATTTGGCTTCTTCAAATGGTTGGGGATATGTGCATTTCATGGTGAAGTTTGCTTAATCAATAGGAAGTTCAATAGCAGTGTCATATCTCCCACTATACCACTGCTTTAATAGGAGTTGGAAAGAAATTGAAATTGAGAGAGATTTGAAGCTAATTCACTAATTTTTATGAACACTCTACATGATTCAACACAAATAGATTAAGACAATTATAAACAAATCTTGATGTAGATTTTTATTGGAGATGTTACAATGCTTCATGGTCTTAAGCTATTCAATATGGCCTATTTGATTGGTTAAAGTTTCTTTTGAAAAATATATATATATATTTATTAATGATTCATTCTAGAGACATGTGAGATTTTGTTGGACCTTCATTTAGTCCTATTCCGTTCATAATACATGTGAAAAATTAATCTATTATAAATTTATGAGGAAATAAAGTTAGATGTTTAACTATATACTAAAATACTAACAAGCCAATATTTATATACATCATTAAGACATGTATTTTGTGAGTTTTGAACTTTTTCTTTTTGTATTTTTAATTTTCTATTTTTATAATCAGAGAACCATACACACAATATTCTCAATTATGTATGATGTCACATATGAGTGCATTTCTTTCTAATGGATCGAGAATGCTATTTGATATGTTGACACAGAATTTCTAGTAAATCAATATATTTGGGAGCTCTGCAGCCTCAACTCTATTTTACTATCCTAGCAAAGATGCCTATTCCCCCCTTAGTTTCTTATTACTTATTAAATTATATATATACATTGCAGCTTTGTTTTCTCATTTTATTTTTTAACAAACCCTTGTCGCATGGTCCTCTCATCAGTTTCATTAATCTCTGTTTATAGTCTATCACAATTGGATTGGATAGTAAACAGTTTTGGATTTATCTTTCTGAATACAAATCTTTTCAATTTTGTTTATGGAACTAGTGAATTTATGAATTTGGGAAGTACTCAAATTGATTGTTTCATAAGAGTCTAAAGAACATCTAGATTCATGTAGTTCACTAAGCTTGCTACTAATGTTTAGGAAGAAGTTTTATTTGATTTGCTTTTAGTCCTCTTTTTATTTTCATTTTTTTTAATTTTATTTTTTTTATTTTTATTTTTTTTTCCATATGGCTAATGTGCATTATGTGATGCAGGTTCCATCTTACATTGGTTCTTATTGCAATAGTATGCTTCTAGATGATGTAAGTTTGATTTTTATTTGAACTATCTTCTTTTAGCAGCAAAATCAAAACATGAATTATCACTTATCAAACAAAAAATTAAAAAATAAAAAATAAAAAAAATCCAAATATGAATGTCAAGTTTAAAACAATAAATTCGTGTTTCATTTAGATAATTATGGGGGACTGCAGCACATATGCATATAGGCTCCGATTGCTTGAGACATCACAATCTTAGAACTTGAAATTAATGTGATGCACATAGCAGAGCAACAGGGGCTGATGATTACAAGCTAACAATCCATAATTCTATTTAGGAAATTTAACTAACTAAGATTTTGAACCACAAAAAAGAAAAGGAAACCTCTACATCATCGAGGCATAAGGACTCAAGATCAATAACCTTTTCATTATGGAATCCTATTTATTTTATGACGAATACATACATATCAACACATATACTAGAATAAAAAAATACTTAGTATAACTCATTTTCATCAGAGTGCATTAGAAAATCAAAATTCATAATTCATAAATATCTCAAAACTTTACAATTTGCATATCCAACAAGTGTTCCACAGGTATCAATTGAGATGAAAAGTATAATCTGCAGAATAAAGAGATTATTGTATAGAAAGTTTCATAACAAAGAGATAATTGATTCTGTTATAGGGGAATTCCCCAAGAGGGCATATTTCTTGGAAAAGTATATTAACTTTAATATAACAATTTTTATAAAAGAATATATGTTTGAAGAATTAGGAAGTATTGGAAACATGCATAGGACACCCAATTTGGGAACTAGTTTAAAAAAAAAAGCTATTGGAGGGCCAAATAATTAAACAGCTATGGAAGTGACTGAAAACAAGAACAACCAACTTGGGAGGGACCATTATAATTGGTAGGAACTTACAGAGGAACTTACGGCACATGCACGAGATGCACTATTTGTGTATTAGACAACAATGATTTTTTTCATACTTAAGCTTCAAAAAAGGCTGTTGAAGGGCTAATTTGTTTTTCTTTTTTTTTTGGATAAATTGAAGGGCTAAATTATCACACAACTACGAATGAGCATGGGAATCAACACAAACACATAGGAAGGGACCAATATAACTTGTAAGAAGCTACGACATATGAATGAGATGTACCATTTGTGAATTTGCCTAAAAACCACTTTTTTCCACAATATTGGAAAAATTCCATTGGAGGAGTATATTATCAAACAACCACGAATGTGCATGAGAATTGACACAAAAACCTTACGAGGGACCAATTTAACTTGTAGGAACTATGGCACTATGCACAATTTGTGAATTAGCCTAAAAAATACTTTTTTCCTATACTCAGGCTTGAAAAATGCCAAACGAAGGGCAAAATTTTCAAATAGTCACAAATGTCATCAGAACCAGCACACACACCACAAGAGTAACCAATATAACTTGTAAAAACTTACTGAATATGCACAGGATGCATCGTTTGTGAAATAGATTAGAAAATCGGTTTTTAAATAATTAGGCTTGAAAGAAGGTCATCGGAGGCCAAATCGTCAAACAACCATGAAAGTTCTCATGATTTGGCTCAAACACCTCGAGAATGACCAATGTTACTTGCAGGAACTTACAACACGTGCATGGGATGCGCTGTTTGTGTATTAGACACAAATATATATATATATATATTGTTTATTAAAAAAGGCCCCTCAGATTGCTAAATTGTTAAACAGCCACAAATGTGTCCAGAAACCGATACAAACACCTTGGGAGGGGCCAATATAAGTTGTAGAAACTTACAACACGTGCATGCGATGTATAAATTGTCAATTAGCCTAAAAAATACTTTTTTCTCCATACTTAAAGTTTTAAAAAAGACCGTCGAAAGGCTAAATTATCACACAGCCACGAATTTGTATAGGAACCAACAAAAACATCTTGAGAGAGACCAATATAAGTTGTATGAACTTACGACACATTAATGGGATACACCATTTGTGAATTAGCCTTAAAATTATTTTTTTGTTCCCATAATCTTGAAAAAAGTCTATTAAAGGGATAAATTGTATAATTGATCTAATTGTGAATTGATTAGTTACTAATATTTTTAATCTTTAGTATAATTGATTAGTTAATAAAGCTTTTAATTTATTTTTTTGTAGATTGGATTGGGGTGGCTTTTTTACTTGCAACAATGATCTAATTTGCTTGAATGTTCATTTTTGTTTGATAATGACACATACTTTGTAGAGTTTCACTAGTTATTGTTGGATGTTTTGTGGAATTGCACTAGTTATAATTGTTGGATATTTTGTGGATATTGCACTAATTTGTGTTATTAGGATGAAATTATTTGTAACGAATAAATATTTTCATTTTATTAAATCGTAAATGTGTTGATTTATAGAAGGTTAAGTTAAATTGTGATGGAATTTTTATATTAAACAGGTTTCAAAATGAATAGAGTTATATTTGCTAAATTAAAATTTAGATTTTGATAATATAAAAAAAAAACGTGTATAATGTGGAAAAAAAAATGGAATTAGTGACAAAAATTTTCATCCCTAAAGAAGGCTTTTTTGTTTCTTATTTGACTTAGGCGGATGACTAATTTGTCACGAGTTCTTTATTTTGCCACTAAATGCATTTATCATTATGAAAAATAATCAAATTTTGTTACTATTACCCTCAATGTGTGACGAATATTTTTTGACATTATTTCATCATTTTTAATGATGAATTTGTTTTTGTCTCTATTGGTAGCTTTGACAATTTTTTTCGTATTTATTTATATTAAACGCAACAAAATTATGTTGTCTATATTTCTTATATTTATGACAAAATATTTTATCACTAATTACTTACAAGTATGTTCCCAGTAATGTGTATTGGAGATAAAAAAATAAAAATAAATCATCACAAATTTATCATTTTCAATGACGAATTTATTTTTTCGTCTCCAAGACCTTTTAGCGACAACGTTTTGGCGACAAAACGGGTGACGAAAACTTTTTGTCGTAGTTAGTTTGGGGGACGAACTGTGTACATTTTGAGACAAATTTGTTTTATCTTTAAATCCTAAATTTGGTGTAGTGCTAGTTATTGTTGGATTTGTGACCTATTTCATATAATATTTCTTATAATTGTAATTACTCTTCTATCACTTGGCACACGAAAAAAAGAAGTGTTGAGAATATGATATAAATAATAAAGTTGCCACACTCTCAAACAACTTAAACTTTTAGATGAGGTGGTGGTCAACACATTTCAATATGGTATCAGAGAATAAAAATGTTTGTATGTGTTTCGACCGCTATGAAGAAAAGGTTGACCACATGTGATGATGTGTCTTGGGAATACAATAAATAATAATGTTATCCTATCTCTAACAGTATAAGTTTTTAGATGAGTTGGTATTTAGTAACCTAATTTTAAGAAACATAATATAACATAAAATATGAAGCGATTATATTTCTAGGGTAAAAAACACCTTGCGTCTTCAAACATTTGTAAAAATTAATACAAACACGAGTAGAAGAAAAAAAAGAAAGACCCTCATGGAGAAAAACCATTATTAGCTAGTCAGTTTGTGCATGAGGTTTGCACATAAAAGCTTAATGCAACATAAGTATCCTCATTATTTCACACAGTTGGGTAAAAAGCTTGCATGGCAATGCCACACAAGCCTTCATTTGCAGCAACATCTCTTTTGATCTTCATATATCCATTCTCACCCCATCTAGAGCCCCATGAATTCTTAACCAACCAATACTTAGTCCCATCACTAGTAGCTCCATATCTAATTATAGTGACAACATGGTCAAGATTGGTGCCACAGTTCCCAGTGAAGGTGCCACTCGAGTAAAACTTGAAGTCAGATCCACTACCTTCAATGGCAATAGGAATCGGTTGGTTGGCCACAGCTTGCAGAAGAGCCTGCTCATTATTAGATGACACATCTTCATATCCAATTATCATGGCTATAGAGGCTGTTGCTCGGGTGCTATCACAAGTGCCATCTTGTCCAACATAAGGGTAATTATCTTCTGTTGTGAGGCCATTGTTTTGTTTGATGAATTGAAAGGTTGTATCCACAGAGCCATCTCCACAACCATTGTTATCAACATTACAATCAACAAGCTCTTGCTCAGACAGTGATATTAGGTTACCACTTTTAAGTTGATTAATACCTTCCATGGTTACCACTGCTGAAAATGCCCAACAACATCCTATATATACGATAAGCACCACGCACACACACGCACAGACACACGTACACACACAAAAAAAAGAAAAAAAAAGGTTATAGAAATGAAATTACAATCAAGTGGGTTACGATTATTTTACAAAAGGACATGATGTATTAATAGGTTCATGTTACATATCGATTTAGAGCCAATTCATGACCAGATTATAGTCAACATAGGTGCTTCGACTGTTATAAGGCTCTCTTCTTTTTTATTTTTTTGGCAGTTAATCATTTTAAAATATTCACGACCACATGGCCCGATTCTTTATATATAGCAATCGATACTCCTGATTCCACTACACTGTAATCATATATAACACTATTTCAAATTCTTAATTGATATAAATATAGGTACACTACAAGAAAAGTGGGCTTAAAAGATGGAATTTTTTGCGACGACACGACTTGCCGTCGTGAAAAATGTGACTTTTTGAGATGACACAACTTGCCGTCGCGAAAAATAGAGTATTTGCGACGGCAAAAAATGCTGTCGTGAAAAAGGAGATTATTTGCAACGGCAGAAATTGTTGTCGCAAAAAAAAACAGAGAGAGAGAGCATTTGCGACGGTAGAGATTGTTGTCGCAAAAAAATAGAGTTTTTGCGACGGCACCAGCTGCAGTCGCAAAAAAAAAAAAGAGTTTTTTGCGATTGTAATAGGTACCGTTGCAAAAAAATAAAAAATAAAAGTTAAAAAAAAATTTGTGTCTTTGAGACAACTTCATATATATATATAGTTACAAAATGGTTTAAATAAATGCAACGGTATTTTTCTGTCACAAAAAATAAAAAATAAAAAAAAAACGACGTCGTTTTACTCTTTTGATATAACATTTCTCTTTTCACCCATTTTTTCATCTTTCTGTCTCTCTCTCTCTCTCTCTCTCTCTCTTCTCTTTCTGTCTCTCACTCATCACTCTTCTCTATCTGTCTGTCTCTTTCTCTCTTCTCTTTCTCTCTTTCACTCATCACTCTTTTTTGTCTGTCTATCTGTCGTCTCTTTATCTCTTTCTCTTTGTGTCTCTCGTTCATCTCTCTTCTCTCTATCTCTCTCTATCTCTCTTCTCTCTCTCTCTCTCTCTCTCTCTCTCTGTGTCTTACTCATCTCACTTCTCTTTATCTCTCTTGCTCATCTATCTATCTCTCTTTGTCTATCTCACACTTATCTTTTGTTTCTCTCTTTTTTGTCTCTCTCTTCCTCTCTCTCTCTCTCTCTCTTTCTTATTCATCACTCTTCTATCTCTATCTACCTGTCTGTTTATCTATCTGTTTGTCTGTCTGGCTCTATCTCTCTCCCCCATTATGTTCGCCTTGCCAACTTTCTCCCCTCTCTTCTTTATTTACTGAGCTCCCTCTCGATTTATCGATCCACTACAAGAAAATGCACTTTTAGCCACCACTTTGTCTCTCTCTCGCTCATCACTTTGTCTCTCTATCTCTCTTTTCTATCTCTCTCTCACTCATCTCTCTCTCTTACCCATCTTCTCTACCACCTTCATCACTACTGCAAATGTCATTCCACTACCACCACTGCTCCCACTTTTGCCACTCCACCTCTACAACTAGTATTACAACCACCATCGCCACCACTCCACTACCACCACCACTACTACTACCACTACTATTACCATTACCACTTCTCCACCACCGCCACTCCATCTCCTCTACCATTACCACAACTTCACCACTAATCTCCTTCGCCATCACTGCCACCACTATCATCAACTAATAAAAATTAAATTTGGTAACACAACAAATAAAATAAAATCAACTAGAGTAAGGTCCCAATTTCACCCATTTTTTCATCTTTTTGTCTCTCTCTCTCTCTCTCTCTCTCTCTCTCTCTCTCTTTCGCTAATCTCTCTTCTCTTTCTCTTTCTCTCTCACTCATCACTCTTCGTCTTTCTGTCTGTGTCTTTCTCTCTCTCTCTCTCCCCCACACTGTGCTCGCATTGCTCACTCTCTCCTTCCCCTATTCTCAATTTAACGATCTCCCTCTCAATTTATTGATCTCTTTTCTCTCTCTCTCTCTCTCTCTCTCTCTCTCTCTCTCTCTCTCTTCTTTCAATTGCTTATCTCTCATTTCTCTTAATCACTTGACGAAAGAGAAAAAAGTCAAAAAAATGAAATAGGCCTCTCTCTCTCTCTGTTTCTTGTTCATCTCTTTTCTCTCTCCCTCTTTATCTCTCATCTCTCTCTCTCTCTCACTCATCACTCTTCTCTCTGGCTCTCTCATCTCTCTCCGCTCTCTATCCCTATTGCTCATCTTTCTTCTCTCTATCTGTGTGTGTGCGTTTGTGTGTCTATCTTTCGCTTATCTTGTTTCTCTCTCTCTCTCTCTTTTTCTTTCTCTCTGTCTCTCTCTCTCTTTTTCACTCATCTCTCTTCTCTCTCAATCGTTCATTTCTCTCAATCACACTCATCTCTTTCTTTAAGCCCATTATTGTTGAAAGAGGGAAAATTCAAAAAATGAAATGGGTCTCTCTCTCTCTATCTCTTTCTCTCTGTGTCTCTCGCCCATTTCTCTTCTCTCTCCCTCTCTTTCACTCATCTCTCTTCTCTATCTCTCTCATCTCTTTTCAAATATTTTTTTTCAATAATTTTTTTTTCAATAATAATGTGTATGATCCCATCGTCATAAATAATAAAAAAATAAATATTAATATTTTAGGCCTAGACAAACATGTTTTTTAGTTTATGTTTTTAAATTTTTTTTAAATATTTTGTTCAAACCAAACACATTTGTAATTTATGTTTTTCTTAAAATAAACAAAAACCAATTTATAAATTTTTTGTAAACATTACCAAACGCTACCTTAAATTTTCATTTGTGACGGTTATACTTGATGTTGCAAAAAAAAAAAATCTGATTGCCGCTCATATTTCCCCCCTCAACCAAAAATCCCCAAATCTCAAATCTCTAATCTTTTGAACCACAAAAATCCCCATCTCTCTCTCTCTCTCTCTCTCTCTCTCTCTCTCGCAACTGTGAGCAAGGCAGACGACGGCGTTGAGCGATATCATCAATCAATCCTTCATATATCTCTCTCTCTCTCTCTCTTCCTCACTGTATCTCTCTCGATGATATCATCGATCAATCCTTTGCAATAAGTGCTCATCATCGATTCACCTCTATTTGATTCATTTTATTATATTTCTAGATCCTTCACAATAAGGGTTCATTGATCGATTCACCCTACGAATGTCAATCTCTACATGCAGGCCATTAATCCTAACCCTAAGAATGTTCATCCTCCAAATCCACTCCATCGACACGCACCGCCCCTTCTCCTCCTCTGCCACCACCAGCAGCTCCGTCGCAAAGCCTAACAACCACCTCTTCTGCAGCCAATCCCCCTCCTCCACCACATCTCTCATGAGCGCTAGTCATCTCTCTCTCTCTCTCTCTCTCTCTCTGTCTCTCTGTGTGTATATATGTATACTAGCAATCGTAGCAGTTATTTTTTGAAGCAGTTAACAATATTGAGCATTTTTTAGGGGAAAAAATAAGTCACAAACCTTCAAACCCTTATGAGTTGTGCGCATTATATAGTGGTAGATATATTAGTTAGATATAAAAGGTTTAACGCTATCTTTTACTAGTATTTTTAATTTGAAATTTTTATGCTTGATTTGTTAGGCTGAGGTCTATCATATATATTTTGCTCAATCAACGGGGAGCTATGAGTCGGTAGAAGAAGCCTGTTCACCTCTGCCTGGATTCGTTGAATTGCCTACTTGCCCTGTTCGTCTTGGTTAGTATATATAAATTTATAATTGCTAGTTTGTTTAGTAGTGATTTGTGCATTCTTGATGGTGCATTTGGGGTTTACTTTGATTTTGGGGGTTAAAAAACTAGTTAGTTGTAGTTCTTGATGTGTCCCCGAAGTGTGGATTACTTGTATTCAGTATGTCCTTAAAATTTTCAATGGCATTCTATTCTGGCATTTGGACACTTTCCATTAATTTTGTTAAAATCTGGTAGGTTCTTAAATTTTTCAATGACATTCTTTAGTGACATTTGGCCACTGCCCACAAATTTTGGTCTATTTTTCAGGGTATTCTAGAAGCAGCAGAAGTTGCAGTGCCAGTGGCTCATTTGCCTGCGAATCAGGCAACTTCTGAAGGGGCTGAAACACGTGTAGCAGCAGCTACACCCATCTCTGGAGCACCTAATTCATCTCTGTTGAATTTGTTTCCTCAGGTCCAACATTCTTATAATTGAGTTTAACCTGCATTTCTTTTCCTTCTATATCTTTCTTATATTGTTCAAACTAAAATATCAGGAAACAATTTCCGGTGGTGATGATAGTGGTGGACTTGGTCCCCTTGATTTCCTTAGAAACAGCCAACAGGTTCGGTTCAGTTCCTATTTTATTATTTGATGCCATTCCTAGAGTTAAGAATCTTGTAATGATAGGAGTCTGGTCTTAAATTTTTGTTTTGTGAATAGTTAAGTAGTTTTGTAGTGAATTACTATGAGATGAGATGAAGCTAGATCATATAGATTTGTATTATTGCTATTATTGCTATGAGGTTGTTGAAGGTTCTGAAGAGTGAGTATTTGTGGGCATCTTTGTACTAAATTATTATTTTTTCTTTTCATATTTCCCATTCATTTTCTCTTCATTCCATAAATACCTCTCTAAATTCAAAAGCTTAACAGATCCTTAGAGAAGTGCACTTGCTACTTGGAATCCAATTATTTTCAAATATTTCACAGTAGCGTCTCTTGAAGAACATTAGGTCATGTGAATTTTAAATTGAATTTGCTTAGTTCAAGTGGTTGTACTCTTAGGTTTTTATGGAGAAATTTGGGGGTTGAGTACTAACTTAACATACTAACTTGTTAACATTCTACCAGAAGACAAACAAAAAAAAAGAAGAAAACATTAGATTCTTGCAGTGTTTTCATACAATCAAGTACTTTGGTTTCTAATAATTTTTCCTCCTAGGTGACGGTTCAAAGCATGAGAATCAAATCAAGAGAGAGTTTGGGAGTCAGAATATCGGTGGAGTGGAATGGATTGAATCAATTCTAAAACATGACAAAAGGTTGACATAAATGCTCATATTAGAATTATTAGAAAGTTAGGTGGATGCTCTCTGGTGAAAACCAACCATGATTAAATTGCTCTGCAATTTTGAAATCATTTTAGGTTTATTGAAAACAAGAAAATTATGGAAATGGTTGTGAACTGTTGATGACACTGGAAATAAATAAATAAATAAATAAATAAATAAATAATAATAATAATAATAATAATAAGTGGATGGAAGCATCTCTTTTAGTGGGTGTTTTACTACTTTTTCTGTTTGTTTTGAGCATCAGTGTTTTACTACTTTTGGTAGGCAACAGGTCCCTCTTGTGCATTAGTTTATTATTTTTCTTTTTAAGGTTTGCCATATGGAGAATATTCTTGTCAAGGTTACATGCGCATATATATATATATATATATAATATTAATATAGGATTTGGTTAAGAAATGTTATGGTGGTATGGATAAAATTGGGTATTGAAGTGTTTGTTAATTGACAAAAAATCATAAAAGTATGATTTAATTTCGTTTCTAAAAATATTTGTTAATTTAGAAAGTTATTGGATGTTCAAATGATGTAGTTAAAATGTGTGTTAACTATGAAAATAAGATCCAATTATGTCTATCCCTTTCCTTCTCTCTCTTGTCAAGGGCTTTGCCGCAATTGCCTATTTAGGAGTGTTTCAAACTGCACAATTCCACTATAACACCTAACACTAGCGCACTCTTAGCTTTTCTATTGAAGGTGCTCTTAAGATGTAAGAAGAAAGGAAAAAAAGAATTAGAAATGGATTTTGCTAGTAATAAGTGCTCTTCGTGAATAAGTAAAAGATAAAAATAAAAATAAAAATCACAAAACATTTTTATTAAATTCAATACACTTTTATTAAAAATAATATTTTTAAATATTTTAAAGATATTTTTATATAATTTTTAATGTTAAACAATATATAAGAATCACTTCTAGCATTTGCCATAAAGTATTATTATTATGGTGTTAGGAAATGTGTACAAGTTCGTTGAAGTTAATCATGATGACCCATTGAGGTGCTTAAAGTATGCCATGATATCATTGTGCTTAAAGTATGCCATGATAATGCTTATAATAATGTGTTAAGTAAATTGAGTCCCCCTATAACAAATCAAAAGTTCTGTTTAGATATTTGTTGATAACCAATTGGCAACTTAGAATTCGAGGTGTTGACGCCTCAAAATCACCAAACGACGTCGAAGTCGCATGAAACTTAGCACACACGACCACCTAGGCACGAGAGACTTGTGGGAGAAGACGAGACTCGAATCAGATTCCCGGTTTGGGAGTTAGAGCCGGATTTCATTATACACAAATTAGTTTCTTAAGAAACTTAGAATTCGAGGTGTTGATGCCCCAAAATCACCAAACGGCGTCAGAGTAGCACGAAACTTGGCACACACGACCGCCTAGGCACGAGAGACTTGTGGGAGAAGACGAGACTCGAATCAGGTTCTTGGTTTGAGAGTTAGGGTTAGATTTCACGCTAGGCAAACTAGTTCTTTAAGAAACTTAGAATTCGTGGTGTTGACACCCCAAAATCACCAAACAGCGTCGGAGTAACATGAAACTTGGCACACACAACCGCCTAAGCACGAAAGACATGTGGGAGAAGATGGGACTCGAATTAGGTTCCCGGTTTGGGAGTTAGAGCCGCTTTTACTCAAAACAAACTAGTTGAAACCTAGAATTTGAGGTGTTGACGCCCCAAAAGCACCAAACAGCGTCGGAGTAGCATGAAACTTGGCACACACTACTGCTTAGGCGCGAGAGACTTGTGGGAGAAGATGATACTCGAATCAGGTTCCCGGTTCGGGAGTTAGAGTCGGATTTCACTCTAGACAAACTAGTTTTTTGAGAAGCTTAGAATTCGAGGTGTTAACACTCCAAAATCACCAAATGGCGTCGGAGTAGCATGAAATTTGGCACACACAACTGGCTAGGCACGAGAGACTTGTGGGAGAAGACGTAACTCAAATCGGATTACCGGTTTGGGAGTTAGAGCCAGATTTCACTCTAGACAAACTAGTTTCTAAAGAAACTTAGAATTCGAGGTGTTGACACCCCAAAATCATCAAATAGCGTCGGAGTAGCACGAAACTTGGCACACACGACCGCCTAGGCATGAAAGAGTTGTGGGAGAAGTCGGAACTCGAATCGGGTTCCCGGTTTGGGAGTTAGAGCTAGATTTCACTCTAGATAAACTAGTTTTTTAAGAAACTTAGAATTCGATGTGTTAACGCCCCAAAATCACCAAAAAGCGTCGGAGTAGCACGAAACTTGGCACACACGACCTCCTAGGAACAAGAGACTTGTGAGAGAAGATGGGACTCGAATCGGATTCCTGATTTGGGAGTTCGAGCCAGATTTCACTATAGACAAACTAGTTCTTTAAAAAACTTAAAATTCGAGGTGTTAACGCTCCAAAATCACCAAATGGCGTCGGATTGGCACGAAATGTAGCACACACGACCGCCTTGGCACGAGAGACTTGTGGAAGAAGATGGGACTTGAATCAAGTTCCCTGTTTGGGAGGTAGAGCCGGATTTCACTATAGGCAAACTAGTTCTTTAAAAAACTTAGAATTCGAGGTGTTAACGTCCTAAAATCACCAAACGGCATCAGATTAGCATGAAACGTGGTACACAAGACCGCCTTGGCACGAGAGACTTGTGGGAGAAGACGGGACTTGCATCGGGTTTTCAGTTTGGGAGTTAGAGTCGGATTTCACTTTAGGGAAACTAGTTCTTTAAAAAACTTAGAGTTCGAGGTGTTAACGCCCCAAAATCACCAAATGCCATCGGATTAGCACGAAACTTGGCACACATGACCACCTTGGCACGAGAGACTTGTGCGGGAAGACGAGACTCGAATCGGGTTTCCGGTTTGGAAGTTAGAGTTGGATTTCACTCTGAAGAAACAAATTAGTTTCTTAAGAAACTTAGAATTTGAGGTGTTAATGCCCCAAAATCACCAAACGGCATCGAAGTAGCACGAAACTTGGCACACACGACCTCCTTGGCACGAGAGACTTGTGGGAGAAGATGGGACTCAAATCAGGTTCCCGGTTTGGTAGTTAGAGTCGGATTTCACTCTAGGCAAACTAGTTCCTTAAAAAACTAAGAATTTGAGGTGTTGACACCCCAAAATCACCAAACAACGTTAGATTAGCACGAAACTTGGCACACACAACCGCTTTGGCACGTGAGACTTGTGGGAGAAGACGGGACTCGAATTGGATTCCCGATTTGGGAGTCAGAGCCGGATTTCACTTTAGGAAAACTAGTTCTTAAAAAAACTTAGAATCCAAGGTGTTAACGCCCCAAAATCACCAAATGGCGTCGGATTAGCACAAAACTTGGCACACACGACCGCCTTGGCACGAGGGACTTGTGGGAGAAGACGGGACTCAAATCGGTTTCCCGGTTTGGGAGTTAGAGTCGGATTTCAGTCTAGGCACAATTATTTACTTTATTATCTTTGTAATTGTATAGTAATTAAATTTTCATGTTTTTTTTTGTAATTAATATATTAACACATAATTATATTGTCATTAATTATTATTATTTTTTTCCAGATATTTTCGGAGTAGGAGTTTGCTTCTTGTGGATTTCATGCCTGTGAAGAATACCACTAATTTTTGTTTTTGTACCACGGAGAATGCTGAGGAAAACTTTTAATTTTGATTTATGTTGTTTTGAATTATGAATAACATTATGTATTTAAACATTATATATGTATTATGGAGCATTATATACTGGGTTAATTTTGTTGATGTATAGTTATGAATGCAAGAATATGTTTATTACGGAGAAATTATTATTTCTATACAACAATTTTTATATTATTATGCACTTATTGATTTTTTTAAAAAATTGTTTTTCATTGAATACAAGTAATTTTAATATTTTTAATTAATTTACAGCAGGTTTTTAGGTTTTTTTATTTTTTTATTTTTTGCGACGCCACCAAACTGTCTCAAAAAATAGGTATTTTATAATTTTTAATAAATATTGCATTTTTTGCGACGGCACCACACCGTCGCAAAAAATCAAAAACCTTTTTTGCGACAAAATCAATGCCGTTGCAAAAAAAAAAACAATTTGCGACGGCAATTTCTACCGTCTCAAATAATACTTTTGGCGACGGTAAAACAGTGCCGTTGCAAAAAGGTCTGTATTTTTACACATTATTGGCGACAGTAAAATGCCGTCACAAATAGTAACATATGCCGTCGCAAAAAAAAGGCGATGGCATCATGCCGTCGCTAAAAAGTTTTTGCAACGCCCTCTATTGTGACCCCTTGTTTGCCGTTGCTAAAAATCATTTGTCGTCGCTAAAAGTTTTTTGAGACGGCATAATGAGTATTTGCGACGGCATTTTGCCGTCGCAAAAAGTTGAAATTTTTGTAATGCTTACCACATTGGCCTTTCTCTTGCCAATCGATAGTAGCTGACACATTCATAACATTTGCATACCTAAAAGATGTTGGTTTTGAGGTAGACGTCACTTTGGTTGGTTGTTTCCTGTAACTAGTATGAGAAACACGGAACTCCTCATCGGTTAAGTCTGCAAATTGATTCACACGAAGCTTGTATGCTCGGTCTACACCTTCATTAAAGGCATTTATATGTTTAACATTGTCCTTGAATACCTGAAATCGCGTATTCTTCTCTTCAACATCCTTGTAAATGCGTCCTTGACGTGCCATCCATTGCTCATACATTTCTAGCATGGTTTGTTCGTTGAGAAGGCGAGAGGAAGCTTGAGAGGACAAAACTCCCAAGACAAAGGGAAATGCCAAGAAAATGCGTTGGAAATGGTCAGTAGAAGCCATGGAGTGAGTGAATGTATTTATGGGCACACTTACTAAAATTGGCAGGGATTGGGTTTTTCCAGGCAAAGATTCCCATGAGATTAAATTCCATACAACTTACCCATAATACTTCTAGTTTACAGGCAGCCAATGAATAAGGAACACGTTTACATTTTGCCAGTAAACGTTTTCTTTTATCCTACTGCATTACTCTTCCCTCCCACTCAGTCCTCACGTTGATTGGTTTTTGTTTATGAAGAAGTTTGACAAAGTAAACAAAGGCTCAAAAAAAAATTTAACCATTAATAAAATCTTATCTTAATTATCTCAAATAATAAAATTAGATTTAATTTGTACAAACTACAGAAAATATGTTTGATTTTGAGTTTTCAAAATGATTTTTTTAAGTTTCAATCCGTAATTTTGTAAGTGCATTTTTTTTCCATATTTTAATCAATTTTTCAACTCTTTAAATCCACTTAATCTAGACACATTTAAAATGTAAAATGTTTATGAAGAAATATTTAAAAAATCAATAAATATGAAAAACACAAAAATGTATTAAATTTTTACATATATATTTTTGTATTTGATGACTTTTTTCAAGATTTTTTTTTACAGGTTTTGCATGTTTTAAGGTATCTAAACTTTAGGGAACTAAATACTCTACAACACCTATTTTTATTTATTTAATTTTGTCAGCCATCATCTAACACTCGAAACAAATATCTCAAAATACGATAATGACTAATTATTGAATTGTGGTCTTTAAATTAAATATTGAAGGAACTATTGTGCAGCTTGCACAATAGTGATTGTTGTGCAGCTTATGGGAGTCACTTCAATTTCTATTTTGATGATTTATATCATCAATTTTTTAAGAAGAATTGAGTAGAATATACATGTAAAAAATCAAGTCGATTAGATATCAATAACTTTTTCATCTGTACATATACAAAATAAATATATAAGTATTAAACGGAATACAAATGCAGTTGATGAAGGGACTATTGATGTCTAATCAACTTGATTTTTAACAGGTATATTCTACTTAACATTCTTTAAAAATTGAATAGTTTGAATTATGAAAAAAAATAAAAACATAAAAAAATAAATCCAAAATAATTCCTGCGAGCTGTTGTCTAAGCCGCACAACAGTTAATAAGAGTAATGTTACACTTTAGAAAAACTTTTCAGGGAGATGGTTGAGAGGGTGATTTATGCTCCGGCGTTGGGCCGAGGTATAAACCGAACAGGTTGGGGGCCCAGCAGAGCAGTGGGCCGAGATGATCGACTGTTCACCCGGAGATGGGCTACCAGAACTTGGGCCGGGCAGAGTTTGGACTGTGCTGCCCCGAACCGTGCAGAAGGTGCTCGGCCAGGAAGTGACCGGTCAAACCAGGATGCTCGGTCCAAGGATTGTCGAGATCAGACAGACCGAGAGGCCGGCGCTCGGAAAGGCGCGGTCAGCCGAGGTAGTTGACTGACCGGCGAGAAGACCGACCAAAGGAGGATCCCGGGCTAAGCTTTGCCGAGATGCCGCCTAGCCCGGTCCTTCATTCGGTTATCCGGTCGGGCGCTTAAGGTATGAAGCATGGTATGACCGAGGTAGGGCAGCTCGGCTGCCGATCTGCTTTCTAGGAAACCATTGCTCGTCGGTTAACCGGATTAATGGGACGTCTGGTAGGGTTGGATCTGGAGGTGGCGAAGGAGCTCTGAGGAAGTCAGTTACTCTACTCCGGCGCGGAGCAGAATATCTGTAAGTCGGTGTGTAGCCGAGCAATTCGTTGCAGTCTCGGTGACGGTACCTAAGCACGGCCCGAATTGCCTCGACGTTGGGGAATTGGTAGTTGGCTTGCAAGGCTTGGATAGCTGCAAAAGAAACAGGGAAACCGGTTAATAAAACTAAAAGAATAAAGTTAACCGTGCAAATTTGAGTGGCTTACATGAAGAACCGAAGTCCTTGCTTATGAACCAGCCCGGCACCTCGGCTGTTTCGTAGTTGCCGGACACCCAGAAGAAATCATCATCGCG